CTGAATATCAATAAGCTGGAAAAGGGTGTGTAATGAGGAGTAATGACTTGAAATCCAAGTTAGAAGGGCAGAAACTCTTCTGCAGGACTCCAGCAGAGTTACATGAATGAAGTGGATTCCGCAGTTGATTTCTTTCACTGTTACAGGAAGGTTTAAGATGGAAAAAGATCAAAAATCTAGAACTCTCTCTAGAAGGGAAAGGCTGGGCATGCTGGGACATTTCATTCTACCAACCTCTGTCACAGATGTGACCCAGCAGCTCTTCACAGGACTGCCATCATGAGTGAAAGTATGGGTGCAAAAGAAGCAAGGGCAGGGACAATGGAGAAGATGTGTCAGGTTGCTGAAGCTGAGGATGAAGGACATGGAAGAGACACTCGCTGAAATGGAAGAAGAAGAGACACAAAACGAACAGTTGCATCTTTCACTAATGAATGTTACCATTAAACTATGTGGTTTTAAGAGGGTAGTCCTCTCTTTTGGGTCTCAACTTCATCTCTGAAACGAAAACAGGCTGAGGAAACAGCTCAGTGGACCTCAGTGTCATCTGTGAACACCTTGTTGTTTAAGAAAAGAAGGAAGGTAGGGATGGAAGAGACAGCAGCTGGAGCTAGGTAGACCCTTGGGGCTCACTGGCCAGCCAGCCAAGCCTACTTGGCAAGGTCCACAACAATGAATGACACTCTTACAAAAAAAGATGGGGCTTACTAAGAAATGACACCCAAGGTTGTCCTCTGGATCCTACACATAGTATAGGTATATATAAGTATACACTTACATATAGATATACCTGTATGAGCATACACATGCATACACATATACAATAAAATAAAAATAAATACATGAAGATAATGATTTGTGTTTGTTAAAAAATAGATTGGGTTAAGTAAACCAATATGACTGACATTTTATTGCTCCCAACACATACTGCTGAAGAGATTGTACCAATGACTGCATTGAAGTCTTTTAGAGAGAAGATCAAAGAGGCATATCTCAACTCATATGGCTAAAAGTGGCTAAAGTAAGAAGTCAGCTGGACAGGATGCTTACCCTATATGATAGAGAAGACTGGGCAACTCAAATGTGAGTTCTAAAGATAGAAAGACAATCAGAACAAAAGAAAGAAAACAAAACAAAAAACAACAGATTATGCACAAGACAAGCAAAACTAACCTTCCCTGGCTTTTGGACCTGAAAGATCATCCAGGTCATCTATCCATCCAGTGTAGTGGTCCGAACCCAGAAAGAAAACAGCTATTTATCCACCCAACCCTGGGTAAGGATGGGGTAGTGTCCACAGCACTGTCCTCCAATACTGAGTCTGTCTAAGCACAAGGGTAAAGGAATCTGTTAGTCATATGGATAAGTCCTTATAAACTATTGGGGTCACCCTTCTACCTCCCACCAGTTGCACATATGCTCATATGCAACTTATATATGTTTACATATGCTCAGTAAATGCACTAAAACTTGAGTAAACTCCAAGCCCTTCTGTTATCTTGAGACAAAGCATCATTAAGTTCCCTATGGTTGTCTTGAACTAGCTATCATACTCAGGCAGGCCCAAAACTTGTGCCTCAGCCTCCCTGTGCCTGGATGCTGGTATTTTTCTTCCAGGAGAAATTGAAATCCAGAAACTGTACTCAGAGTAAGGAAACAATTAATGTTTTCCTAAAGTCACATGTATGCCAGTCTCTCTTAATCAGAGTCATAAATTCTGGAGCCAGATAGATAACTCAGTAGTTAAGAGCACTTCTGATCTTGCAGAGGACCTGAATCCAGTTCCCAGTGCCTATCCTGAGCTTCTCTTAACAATCTGTAATTCCAGATCTGACATCTTTTAGACTCCATAGGCACCTGCACTCAGATGCACAAACCCAAATGCATGAACACAGATAATTAAAATAATAATAATAATAAAATACCCAGGCATGGTATAGCATGCTTTTAACCCCAGAAGTTTAGAGGCAGAGGTAAGAAGAGTTCTGTGAGCTCCAGGACAGCCAGGACTACACAGTAAGATCCTGTCTCTAAATATGAATGTTTGAATATCTCTTAAAAGTTCTAAGTTCCAGCCACAGAGAGATACAAGATTTATAACTACCTATCTTAGAGTATTAAAAGAAAATAAGGTTCTATAATTGCCAGTATCCATTAATGAAAAACATTTGGAAAAATGAAGAAATCTGCATCTTTGCAAAATTGAATCTTCTTTTGTTTTTGTCTAGTGGGAAAACTTGACAGTGAACTAGGAGTACTCAGAGGAGCCATTTCAAATGGAATAAGCTCTTTAGTGTCTCTCTTTTGTCAACAGTGAAGCAAAGAATAATTACTTCATTAATTCTTCCACATCATATTGCCTTAGTTGGGGTTCATGTCTTTTTTTTATTGCTATGATAAAGCAAATTGGGGAGGAAAGGGTTTGTTTGCTTACACTTCCACACTATAATCCAACATTGAAAGAAGTCAGGATAGAAAACCAAACAAGGCAGGATCCTAGAGGCAGGAGCTGACGCAGAGGCCATGGACATGTGCTGCTTACTGGCTTGCTTCCCATGGTTTGCTCAGTCTGCTTTCTTACAGACCCCAGGACCCACAGATGGGCTCAGTCCTCCCACAACAGTCACTAGTTTAGAAAGTTCCCTACAGGCCTGCCTACAGCCCAATTTTATGGAAGCATATTCTCGATTGAGACTCCGTCTTCTCTGATGACTCTAGCTTCTGTTGACATAAAACTAGCTAGCACAAATACACAGTGCCAGACACTGCTCTAGAACCTAGAAAACCTAAGTGATCAAAATGTTTTACCCCCATTTCAAAATATGCCATCCACCAAATCCAACCCCTAAGGTATTTAACTTCTAGTGGAAAGAGTGGGTAAGCGAAGCTACTAAGCAAATAAACAAGAAAAGAACAGTATGCCAAATCCCAGATCCTGGGATAAAAAACTGTGATATCAGTGGGGTGCAGAGATGACAAGATGTCAAAGAAGACATTGCCCTTAAGATGAGTTTCTGTTATCAGGACTCAGAGGTCCTTCCAGGAAGAGTGGAGGTCCCAATTACAAAAGAGAATAACTATGTGTCCACCCCACAGTGATCCCAAACACAGGAACCACACACATGCCTGCCCTTCCTCTCAAAGAGGAGTCAGGCTTTTCTTCAGAGAAGATGCAGAGGCCATGCTGTGGGATCCCTTCTCAGGTCAGGTAACTGGTGTGCTAATAAACTACTAACATATTTTGGTCCCATTACTCGTAAATAGAAAAGGGTTCTTTCCAAGGAGCTAATGAGAAAAGCAACAGGCAGAATCACATTCGGAACAGCTTTAACCTCAGTCATTTGAATCCGTAAAGCCGGCTAAGAGAAGCCCTGATGTTTGTCCTTACATATGGTACGTGGATACATGTAAAACTAATCAACATGGCTTTGTACAGAAAGAATGTCAAAAATAAACACAGCTGCACACCCATGAATACAGGGAAAACATTTTAAAGATGACAGGGGCTGAGCTCTATGCTGACCTATGACCTCTGAATGTGTAATGGGACATTCCTGGAGGAAGATAAAACATTAGGGTAAGGAAAATGGCCTACCCTAAGTTATCCACCTGAAACTCACAGAGTGACAGGTTGAGAGACTGACTCCATCTTTTGGAAGCTTTGGTTGAGTTTTCCCAAGAAGTCATTTGAAGGTGTTAGGGTCTTGTTGGGAGCCGACTCTGAGCAGAAAGCGGCTATCATCTTTGCAGCCATCTCGAGCCATATACACTGACAAGAGACTTGTTTTCAACAGCCTACAATAGCTGAGCACACTCTGATAATTATCTTGCTTTTCTTACATATCTTGTTTTGTTGTTTATTTCCCCCAGCTGCAGAGTGCACGTGGTAAAGTGTCTTCAGCTTCTTTCCCCTGCTTGTGCTTATGTATACCCATGATTTCCTTTCAATAAAGGAGAGAATAGACCAGACTCTGTCCCCACTCTCTCTTGCTAGACCCTGACCCACAGATTGAAGCAGCAGCTCAGGCAGATATAGGGTGAGCCCGGAATGTGGGGCCGCTCGGCCGCTACAGGGTCTGACTGGGGATCTGGCCTTGAGGTCGTAGTTTGTCTTTTTTTAGCCAAGGTTGTGCCTTATCTGGAAGAGTCTGAGTGGAATTTAGTATAGAAGTTGAGAAATCGAAATGATTTAAGTACTATCTCCCCCAGTAGGTAAGGGAAATGGGATTCTGGAGACTGCTGGGAACAGACTCATAAATGCTAAAAACTCCAGCTATGTTATCCTAAATGGCCACAAGATGGAGACATAGCTTCTCAACTAATCTTCGAAATGGAAGTAATCCAGCTCTGACAACTCTTCTCTTGGGCCGATTCCTTCAAGGTCGCTTCTCTTTTTGTGATACCCAGACACTGAGCTACAAGACTGGGGACTACACTGCTGAATTTAACCTAAAATATTGAGCATATGCTATTTAACATAGAATTTCTCTTCAGGAATGCACTTATTGACAAAATAAGTTCATTATTAAGATTGCATTTTTTTTTCACTTTAAAGGGGTACAGTTGGCTGGGGGAGAGACAAATTGAAGTATTTATGCAAAAGTGTCAGTGTTCTTTCAAGCATCCATTACACATCCTTCAGCAATTACCAACATCTTCCTCATGTTGTCGTACTATTTAATGCATTACTGCATCAGGAGTCTAAAGACACTCCAGACACTGGCAACAGTCACGAGTTACCGGAGCCAGAAATAACACCTGAAAATCCATTTAGCTTCTTGTTCACCTTATAGTTAGCACAGGCGTATCCTCACGAATAGAGTACTACTTTGTACCCTTTCAGGGTGCAAGGTTAACATACCTAAAAACTAAGGTGAGGACAAAAGAAACCAGGAAAACAGTCCTCGGGTCTTATTCCAACCTAGTCAAATGACTGCAAGCTTACTACCCTTGTACCCCACCATTCAGATACCAACCTGGCTGTAGATGAACTCTAAAACTTAAGGATTAAAGTTGGTAGTAGACATGCAGCAGCTCTCTTTAAAACGTGCGTAGCTCTGAAAAGAGCCTTTGGATTCGGTGTCAGCCTAGAGCGCTCACTTGGAGCTGGTGTATTTGGTGACAGCCTTGGTGCCTTCGGAAACGGCGTGCTTGGCCAGCTCCCCGGGCAGCAGCAGGCGCACGGCCGTCTGGATCTCCCGGGACGTGATGGTCGAGCGCTTGTTGTAATGCGCCAGGCGCGCCTCGCTCCCGATGCGCTCGAAGATGTCGTTGACGAAGGAGTTCATGATGCCCATGGCCTTGGAGGAGATGCCATTGTCGGCGTACACTTGCTTCAGCACCTTGTACACGTACACCGAGTAGCTCTCCTTGCGGCTGCGCTTGCGCTTCTTGCCGTCCTTCTTCTGCGCCTTGGTCACGGCCTTCTTGGAGCCCTTCTTCGGAGCGGGAGCGGACTTCGCAGGATCAGGCATGGTGAGAAGAAAACTCTACAACTCTAGCACGGAAGCAATCGGCCTTTCCTTTTTTTTTTTTTTTTTTTTTTTTTTTTTAAAAGAGGTATTATTCAAATGAGGCTTAGAAAAGAACAATTATGATTGGGTGATTATTTAGATGACGTCATGTAATGTCTTACCCAACCAAAATACTTGTTGGCATAAACGCTTCCAATTGGTCTAAATGAAAAGAAGAATGCAGCCAATCCCATAGGTTCTTTTTCGCGCCTAGAGAAAACTATAAGAGACAAAAAAAAGCCCTTCCTTTTTTCATCTTCTGTCATCTTGCCAGAGGCTGCTTACAAGTATGTCCGGACGCGGCAAGCAGGGCGGCAAGGCTCGCGCCAAGGCCAAGACCCGCTCCTCCCGGGCCGGCCTGCAGTTCCCCGTGGGCCGCGTGCACAGGCTGCTCCGCAAGGGCAACTACTCGGAGCGGGTGGGCGCCGGCGCCCCGGTGTACCTGGCGGCCGTGCTGGAGTACCTGACGGCCGAGATCCTGGAGCTGGCGGGCAACGCGGCCCGCGACAACAAGAAGACGCGCATCATCCCGCGCCACCTGCAGCTGGCCATCCGCAACGACGAGGAGCTCAACAAGCTGCTGGGCCGCGTCACCATCGCGCAGGGCGGCGTCCTGCCCAACATCCAGGCCGTGCTGCTGCCCAAGAAGACCGAGAGCAGCCACCACAAGGCCAAAGGAAAGTAATTTCCCTATTTGGATGACAAAAACTTAAGGCTCTTTTCAGAGCCACTTAAGGTTTCCTAACAAGGGCTTAGCATTTACCTGTTGACAAAGGCATAGCACTACACGTCTCCTTTTTAGCAAACCACGCTCAATTCCAGTTTTTCACTAGTAACTATTTGGTTTGTGGGTTTCAGATAACAAATCATGGTACTAAACAGAATAGAATTAAAATGAAAGCATGCGGCTGTCTCTAGTTCGTAGATCAGTGCACAAAAGAAGTGTACAGGGCAAGACATTGGTTGCTTTTCAGCAGTCAAGACTGTAGCCTACGACTAGGGACTCACTATTAATTCACTAAGTGATCGTAGGGTTAGGCCTTTGGTTTCTTAGAGGAGAGCTTGTATAGTTATGTCCATCTCAGCAAGTAGAGCCACTTTCTTCCCCTAGTGGCCTGTAAAGCCACCCCCTACCTCCCATGTAAACTTTAAACCTTGACATAGGTGAACCTCAGGTGAATACACCATAAAATCTGGTTTCCTTGGGACTTTTTACTGGAATTCCTTCAACATTTATAATCTCTTGTTACCTTAAATAACTAATTTAGTCTTCCTGAGCTATAATTATTTCAGGACCTTGTGTGACTTAAGTATTGAACCATGTATTTAGTCCTAACAAGCCTTTAATCCTACCATTGGGGAGGCAGAGGCAGAGCCAGGAAGATCTCAAAGTTCGAGATCAGCCTGGTCTACGACTAACATTAGATACAGTAAGGCGACTGTCACAGAGTAAGTACAGAAAACAGGAATAACAGCAGTTTAAATGGTTCCCATACTAAAATTCTGTAGAACTTTTTTAGCTGCGTGACCCAATTAGTGATTTTCTATTCTATTCATTAAAAGATCTTCCAAGTAAAATAACATCATCATATACAAGATGCTAACAGAAAAAAACGTAAATGAGGGGAGAATGACGAGATCTGCTTCCTTTCCACTTATATTCCTGTACTGTTTAACTTTTCTCGTTTAAAAAGAATGTGCCATATTAAGAGATGGAAGAGATTTGCTCATATGAAATGAATGAGCCGCTAGGCTTCTGCGCTGCTGAGGGCCCCTCCCCACCTCCCCGCCGCAGGCACTTCCGCCTGACGCTTCCTGTTTTCACTCCGGTCCGCAAGTTCCCTATAAGAGGGAACTGTTATTCCTGGAGAGCCATCTGTTTCTACTCAGGACAGTACATTATTGTTGTGACTATGTCTGGCCGAGGCAAGGGCGGGAAGGGCCTGGGCAAAGGCGGCGCCAAGCGCCACCGCAAGGTCCTCCGCGACAACATCCAGGGCATCACCAAACCCGCCATCCGCCGCCTGGCCCGGCGCGGAGGAGTGAAGCGCATCTCCGGCCTCATCTACGAGGAGACCCGCGGTGTGCTGAAGGTGTTCCTGGAGAACGTGATCCGCGACGCCGTCACCTACACGGAGCACGCCAAGCGCAAGACCGTCACCGCCATGGACGTGGTCTACGCGCTCAAACGCCAGGGCCGCACGCTCTACGGCTTCGGCGGTTAAGCTACTCATGCTCTCACTGCTATTAAATAAAGGCCCTTTTTAGGGCCACCACAAAATCAACAAAAGAGCTAAACTGCTTTTCCTGATGAGGAAGGGCATGAACCTTCCAGGGGACTTGACTTTTGACCTACTATCGGCTTTTAGGAGAATGTCAACGCAACAGTCTTTAGTACAACAGGACCACTACCCCTGAGGGACACGGGAGACTTGTATACACTCAGCTGTAGACCACATTTTTAAATACTGTTTAAAAGTCTGTAATGCTCTGTATACCAAGCTTTTTTAGTTGTTTGGCGGTAGGGGGCTGTGTAAAGTTTTACAGGTTATATCAGTATTCCACGCTAAGCAGTGGAAATGTTTTTTGTTTTTTTTTTTTAAATTTATTTATTTTATGTATATGAGTACACTGTAGATAGCTGTCTTCAGACACACCAGAAGAGGGCATTAGATCCCATTACAGATGGTTGTGAGCCACCATGTGGTTGCTGGGAATTGAACTCAGGACCTCTGGAAGAGCAGTCAGTGCTCTTAACCGCTGAGCCATCTCACCAGCCCGGAAATGTTTTTTTTTTTTTGTTTGTTTGTTTGTTTTTTTTTGTTTTATTACTGTGATGGCTGACCTAAGATTTACATCCTGTCTCAGTCTCTATAGTAGGGGTTACAAAAAAAAAAAAAATCACGGCGGTGATGTGCACGCAAATTTGTTCCAGCAGGCAGACACAAGGCCAGGCTGGTGTATACAGAGGATTCTAAAACAGGAGGGGTACACTGAGAAAACTGTCTCGAGAATAAGTAAATGAGTAGTTGAGATTACAGGGAATTTAGTCACCACCATACACTACTAATCTCTCTTCATTAACAATATAAATCATCAAAGAGTTAGTGATGGTAGTAATTTTAGAATGGAGAATTTAGAACAATTGGAAGTCACAGCCAGCTGAAATTTTTTTGGGTTCCCCCCACCCGCCAGTCTTTCAGGGTTGTCAGGAGCTTAGCTGAGAAAGACATGTTTATCCTTTCTGCATATTTGTTAAAGAACAACACTTTATCATCCCCTACCCCACTTTCATGTTTGAGCCCATTTCACTGACCACTCATGCCCTTAGGAAAGTAGTTATTTCAGAAGGAATTTGAATCCTGCCCTAATGTTTTGAAGTCACCTCTGCTCTTTGTCAAATACTAGTCTGTTTTTGTTTTGTTTACCCTGGTTGTCCTGGAACTCTCTATGTAGGTAGACTTCCCAAGGGATTAAAGGTGTGTGCCATCACATGTGTGGCTTTTTAAACAAAGACAATGTGGCATGTGACTGAGAAAGTGAATACTTACTTAATTTTTGTTAGTTTTCACTTAAGTGCTGAATTCAACAAATTAATATTATGTTCAGAACAATTTAGTTGCATAATCTGAATCTCGTTGGAGAACTCTAAATTTAAGAGCTCAAAACAGATCACACTGGGCTTGTACCTTTAATCCCAGTGCTCAAGTAGAAGCAAGCAGACATCTGTTACTACAAGGCCAGTCAGTATAGCTCTGAGACCTTGTCTCAAACAATACAAAACAAAATAATCAAAATACATACCAAGAAATGTCATATACTATAAAAGCATAATATAGACACTATATCTCAAACACTTGAAAAAAGTGTAAGGTCTACTTAAATGGTTTACATACTGAGAACATTCTTTATATATTGGATCATATATTAAAATTACTGTCACTTTTTCGTCTTGTTAAAAATGTGCTTGCTTACTAATTGGAAACTATATGAGCACTGAATTTAGAGAAACAAACTGGATTTGTGCTTTTTAAATGCAAATATAGGAATAATTCATAGAAGATCCTGGGAGAATGAACAAATTTAATTTTTCTCTACTTACATTCATAAAACAGTCTCTCTTCTATATATATCTCATGTTGAGGCAGGACAGAGAAACAGAGAAGTGTAGGAACATGGGAGGCAAAGAGCTCCTCTGAGTTGGAACCTTCACAAGATAGAGTTTGAACCTAGCAAATTTTGCTAAAAACCTTCCTCCCTTTTCAGCTACAAAACTTGCAGTTTTCTACAAAGTCTCCCAGAAACTTCATTCACAGTTTGTTTGTTTGTTTGTTTGTTTGTTTTTAAAGTTGGAGATGGCAGCAGGGGCCAGTGGGCGGGATGTCCTAACCTATACTATAACCCTGTGCCCAACCAGGAATGTACTATTTCATTTCATCAGATTGTAATCCCAGCTGAGATGCCTCCAAACCCACTCTATAATCTCATTATCTAAGAAAAAAAATAAGAGAGACAGAAGGGAAGAAAGGTCCCTTAGGACCCTGTAGAACAATAAAATTCCAAACAGCTTCAAAAATCCCATAGACAGTCACCATGAGGGTGCTTGAAATGAGTGATACCCTCAGGAGGGGACTGAAACACTGCCCAAATGTCACCTGAGGAAACTGGAGCAAAGCAACAATGGTCCTGGGACATAAACTCCTCAGTACAAAATCAAATTCTTGGTTGGTGGTGGTGATGGTACTGTTTTTGGGGTTTTGATTTTTGGTTTTCTGAGACAGAATTTCTCTGTGTAGCCCTGGCTGTCCTGGAACTCACTCTATAGACCCCACGATGGCCTAAAGATCCACCTACCTACCATTGTCTCCCAAGTGCTGGGATTAAAGGCATGTACCACCACCACCCAAAATACATTCTTTTAAATTAATGTAGCAAATTCAACTCCTTAATAATTCAATTATAAGAATACAATTAAAATCTTGTTTTATCCAAAATTAAGTGAAACTAATTCATGTAGCTGAGGATGAAGGAAATGACAGACAAGTAAAAGGGAAAGAAGGGACTCTGTCCTGGAACCTTGTACTGCAATCTTGTCCTGCATTTCATAATTCTGACCAAATTATTTAACTTTGTGCCTTAATTTTGCTGTTTATGAGCACTGATCTGACCTCTGATTCATCCCAGCTGTTAACTCTGTCCTCTCCATAGAGGCAAAATGAGAGAAATGACAATGAAAGCTAAGGCCTTACTTCCACTCAGGTTTTCTATTAAAACAGTGTATTTGCAGAATTTCAGAGAAGAATAAAGTAAACTTTGTAAAGTCAAAATGATATAGTTTTTAAAACTGGCTTACTTAGAGTTAATAACATCGGCATTCTACTGAGAGTTCGGGAGTTAAAAAGCTTAATCCAAGACTAATAAAATAAACCTGAAGGTAGAATCCATCATCATTCTAAAAAAATAAAATAAAAAATAAATTTAAAAATATTTATCAGATACTGAGTGGGTGGCACAGGGTTATAATCCAGAATCTCAAATAACTGAGGAAGCAGGAGTCCAGAGTTTGTTACATAATGAATCCCAGATCAGCCAAGGCTACATAGCAAGAGCCTGTCTCAAAAACAAGTAAAACCCTGGATAGTAGAAACCTACAATGCTTACTAAAGAAACATGCAAGTATTATTTCTCTTAAGTGTCTCATGAAATTGAAATAGGCAGTATATCGCCCTGGTGGTTTCTCCCATCAGCTACCTGACAGCTGCCTAAGGGTTATAAAGACTTTAAAAGGGGCAGATCAGGGAAAATTGTACTTGTTGGGAAACACTAAGAAGCTCACTTTACACCATCCCCCCTTTACTGTGATAGATCCCTTTCCCAATTACCCCCACCCTTCCTCTTTGTTTTAGATCTGATCCTTCTACTTAGCAGAACACAAGCATTATAGAGGTGTTCCACCAGACCAAGTTTATGCTGTGATGGGGAGGGATTAAGCTCAGGGCTTCAGGTATGCCAAGCATCTCCCAGCTGAACTTATCTTACCTTCTGGTCTCTAGCTTTGAATAAATTAGGCTGAGATACAATATGGCTTCAAGTTAATACTTCATTTTTGCCCAAAGTCCATTGCTGCTTACTCAAAACACAACTGGGCCACCCTGAATTGTTTGTAGAGTAATACAAACAATCCTTTGTATTACTCTAGTATATTAAACACTACAACTGCCAAGGGGATCTGTGTAAGAGTTCTAAGACAGCCCTACTCGAACGTATTCAAGTGTGCAGCTCTAATACTGGTAGTTTAGTGGCTCTTAAAAGAGCCTTTGGTACTAAATGTTAACCCGGTTGAGAAGTTTACTTAGCGCTGGTGTACTTGGTGACGGCCTTGGTGCCCTCGGACACGGCGTGCTTGGCCAGCTCCCCGGGCAGCAGCAGGCGCACGGCCGTCTGGATCTCCCGGGACGTGATGGTCGAGCGCTTGTTGTAATGCGCCAGGCGCGACGCCTCGCCCGCGATGCGCTCGAAAATGTCGTTCACGAAGGAGTTCATAATGCCCATGGCCTTGGAGGAGATGCCGGTGTCGGGGTGCACTTGCTTCAGCACCTTGTACACGTACACCGAGTAGCTCTCCTTGCGGCTGCGCTTGCGCTTCTTGCCGTCCTTCTTCTGCGCCTTGGTCACGGCCTTCTTGGAGCCCTTCTTCGGGGCGGGAGCGGACTTCGCGGGCTCAGGCATAGTGTAGAACTAGGCAAACAAAACACCCAACAGGAAAACCAGGAGAGCAGGTACTCTTTATCTAGGGCTTCATATGCAAATAAACTGAAGTGCTCTGTGTCTTGGTACTGGTCACTCAGAGTCTGCTTTTACCCAATAAGGATAGACAAATCCCAAAACCTTGTTTCCATTCGTTAAAATAAATTCAAAATGTTAACCAATGACGGGTCTCCTTTTTCGCGCCCTAGCTTTACTATAAAAGCCAACAGCGAGAGCGTTGCTCGCTGGTTTCTTTTGTTGTTGTTTTTTTTAATTTCTAAAGCGGTGCTTACTCAGAAAAGGGTAAGCTTATTATGTCTGGACGCGGCAAGCAGGGCGGCAAGGCTCGCGCCAAGGCCAAGACCCGCTCCTCCCGGGCCGGCCTGCAGTTCCCCGTGGGCCGCGTGCACAGGCTGCTCCGCAAGGGCAACTACTCGGAGCGGGTGGGCGCCGGCGCCCCGGTGTACCTGGCGGCCGTGCTGGAGTACCTGACGGCCGAGATCCTGGAGCTGGCGGGCAACGCGGCCCG